GAAAAAGCAGGAAACTTAAAAGCCCAAACGGTCAAGCACCGTAAGCTAAAGCGTACTGCCACAGCATGCATGTCCGTTCATGTTAGTAAAATTTTGACTGCTATTAGTATGAAATGGAGAAAGGTTTGAATTCTCACCAATGAGAAATGAAATCTTACATATGAAAATATAATTTCTACAATTAAAAGTTGAATTTTAAGATGTCATAACTAGATTTCTATACATGTAATATTTTCTAGAATCAACAAGATTTTCTGATAAAGTAACTTTGCTTATTAATTGAAAGTTACAGTTATCTTTACTCTTACTATCACCATTATTACTGCTAATATTAATATTATTTACTATTATTAGTCAGCGTTTCTTACCTTAAAATTCATGGCTCTGTTTTGGAGAATTTTGTTTCTTTGTTTTTGTTTGGTTTGACAGCCAACTAGAGCTTCACATGATGGGTCTTTAATATGTATGACTTCATTTGCATATGGATTTTAAATGGCTCTTGCTTAGAACACCGATGAAAATACAGCTACATTATAAAGACACATGAGCAGCTGTTTCTGATGCTTCTGGTTGAATATCTTTAACCAAAGACTGATCTATTCTGATCTAAACTGATCTATTTAACCAAAAATTCTATTTTTGAATTTACAAATATATATATATATATATATATATATATATATATATATATATATATGTATATATATATATATATATATATATATATATATGTATATATATATATATATATGTATTTATATATTTGACATCTTTATATATATATATATATATATATATATATATATGTGTGTGTATATATATACTAAAGAATGGACAAATTGAGTTTGATAAATGAATAGACATACAGAAAATTCAGATTTATCTTTAAGAAAAAATCCATATTTCTCTAATTACTCAATTTCTATACAATAGTCATATTTGTAGTCTATATGGTAAAATTATTTGTCTTAATCTTAAACCTCATGTCTTGATTAGGATTGAAAATATTCCAGCCAAGCTCCAAATGAGTGTTACAGGTGCTGTTGGTCTTCTGGAGTCTTTCTCTATGTACCAAACCTACCAGAAGAAGGAGCCCCAAGCAGCAGCGGCTCTGTTAGAGTCGACTAGAACACGGTAATCACTGGCAGCTTGTTAGTGTGTAGAATTATCTACAGATATGTAATATTTACATATCACAGAAATCAGAATATTCCCTGCTATTTTAAATAAGAGTTTGATGGAGTTTGTAAACATTTTTAAGGTTTCAAAAAGTCACTCCCCAACTTTTGGTCCTAAACAGAACATTCCTTTTACTAAAAGCCCTTGAGGAACCATCTTTTCAAGAGTGTAGCAGAACCCTTTTTGGTGCTATATAGAACCATTTTCAAAAAGGTTCTAGAAAGAACCATACCTAACACATTCTCCATCAATCTGAAGAACCATTTTAGCATGAAATGGTTCTAAATAGAACCTTTGGTTCTAAATAGAACATTCCTTTTACTAAAAGCCCTTGAAGAACCATCTGTAGCAGAACGCTTTTTGGTGCTACGTAGAACCATTTTCAAAAAGGTTCTGTATAGCACCATACACAACATATTCTCTATCAATCTTTAGAACCATTTAAGCATGAAATGGTTCTAAGTAGAATTTATGGTTCTAAGTAGAACATTCCCTTTACTAATAAACCACTGAAGAACCATCTTTTTAAAGAGTGTAGCAGAATGCTTTATGGTGCTATATAGAACCATTTTCAAAAAGGTTCTAAATACAACCATACACGGCATATTCCGTATCAATCTGAAGAACCATTTTAGCATGAAATGGTTCTATATACAACTTATGGTTCTATATAGAACCATTTCCTTAACTAAAGAACACTTGAAGAACCATCTTTTCTAAGAGCATAGCAGAACCCTTTTTGATGCTATATAGGACCATTTTCAAAAAGGTTCTAGATAGAACCATAAATGACACATTTTCCAACAATCTGACGAACCATTTTAGCATGAGATGAGAACTTGAACGGTATAGATCTTGAGGTTCTAAATAGAACCATTGCCTAGAACCTTTAAAAAACATCCTTTTTGTATGTGTGTACATTACGAGCACACATGTTCACCTGTCTGTTTGTTGTCTGTTGCAGGTTTCTGGAGGAGATGGGAGTCTCGTCTCCGGATACTAAGCTAGATGTTGCAATGCCGTACTATGTTGTTCTAGCATGTAAACCATAATAATGCTGAACACTCTGGTTTGGAGTATGACTGAAATGACTGTGTACTGTATTTGTAGCATTGTTACAGCACTGTGATGTGGGTCATATCATCCTGGGAGAACAGTCAGACGGCCCAGCCTAATAAAAGTATTTTACACAACTAAAATATGAAGATATGGTTGCAGATTCCATTAATGTTATATGTACTTCATCTGTGCTATCATTTCTGTTTTACAAATAAAGGAAAGGCCAGTCCACTTCTGTAGAGGAACGATTGGTTTGTTTAGCTCTAAATATGACCCCGTAAAAGGTCATCACTGGGGCAGCCTATGAGTAAGGTTCATAAACTGGTAACCATGCCCAGAAATAGTGTTGCCAGATTGGACAAAACACCCCAAATGAGGGGGATTGTAAGTATAATTGCCAGCTAAACAAAGTGGATCCATTTACTGCAAAGCTAAACTATACAAGCATTTACAAGATATTTTTAAGCTTTTTAAAAACAAAAGAACCCTTTTTGATGCTATATAGAATCATTTAAAGAAAGTTCTCTATAGAACCGTATACAAAAGTCCATCAATCTGAAGAACGATTTCAACATGCAGACAAACATAAAAGCATGAAATAGTTCTATACAGCTCTCATGGCTCTAAATAGAACCACTGACTTTACTGAAGAACCCTTGAAGAACCATCTTTTTAAGTGTGTACAGTAGCATGTTATGGGCAGTTTGGTTCAGCCTACCAAACCAATTCAAACTGTCTGATTCAGTGAATCAAATTTTTGATTTGGCTCATTTTCATTCTAGGCCACAAAGATTTGGGAAGTCAAGTAAATTGTATTCTCTTCTTCTCCGTATGGCGAGTGAGCTACTTCTGCCAGTTCTACATTCTTAAAAAAATGGGGTTTTCAAGGGTTCTTTAGTAAAGAAAACGGTTCTATACAGAACCATGAACACTTAAAGACCCCTGTGTATGCTAAAACCGTTCTTTGCATCGTGCAAGTGTTTTCAGATTGATAGAAAACGTGTTGTATATAGTTTGAAATGAGTTCTACACAGCACCAAAAAGGGGTCTGCTATTGTTACGATGTCAAGCTTGTTACAACTGAAGAACCCTTTTCGGTGCTATATAGAACCCTTTTAAAAAATAATCTGTATAGAACCATAAACAACACATTTTCCATTAATCCGAAGAACACTTTCACGATGCAGAGAACCATTTAGGCATGCAAAGGGTTCTGTGAATGTTTATGGTTCTATAGAGAACCAGTTTCTTTACTAAAGAACCATCTATTTTAAGTGTGTACTCTCTAATGGAGCTTCTCTCAGGGCTGATGCACATGAGCCAGCTAAAGTCTACAGCACATGCGTCAGGCTCCAGTCCTTGTGGGCCAAAACACCGCAGACTTCAGCTCACTGCCTTATTAAACACACCTGATTGAGCCCATCAGCTAATTAGCAAGGCCTTCTTGTAGTGATGGTGTGCTCCATTTAGCTCCATGGAGCTGGGAATGACGTCACACCCGAGTTCAGCGGTTGCAGTAAAACACACAGTTTGCTAACTAGCCAGGTTAGCCATTAGCCATTAGCAAATATAAGCAATACCAGTTGATAAATACACATTATATGGTATTTTGTGGATCCACACACTGTAGCAACATGTCCACAGGTAGAGGTTGGACAGCACTGAGTGTATGACTGATTAATCAGACACAAAAAGATGTATGTGCTAATAAACAGTGTAATACTGCAGCATTACTACTGCTGATGCACAGTGCAGCCATCCTGGATTTTGAGGTCAGGGCAGAGAACTCATAGAGAGGATAATTACCACTCTGTAATGTCTTCCAGATTTCTCAAACACTAGAGGGCGCTCCCAAGCAAGTCCAAAATAAATGGGTTGATATGGAGCATTTCAGCAAAAACATAGTTCATAAATGCTTAAACATTTTTAATATAAAAGAATACAATCATTTCCTGAACACAGAACAGCATAAAACATTTTAACACCACTGTTATATTTTTGAGAGCTTTTAAACTCGAGTTATAGGAGTTCATGACGTCTGTGAGCACAAAGAGCCAATGAGCTGCTCCGCTCACCAACCAATCAGCACTCAGTAGCAGTAATGTTAGCGTTCTGCTGCCCAAAACCCGTTTGCTGTAGAAAAAAGAGAACACACAGGTGAGTTTTCTTTGTTTTTTTAGTGAGATCCATCCTTCTACTTTCTAAAATTAAAGAAACGTTCTGGACGAGCGATTAGAAACTATTTTAACTTTTCGTTTTTAGCCGTTGAGCTCCATTTAAGCCCATTCATTAAGGACTCGCTCGCGGGCGCCCTTTTGGCATTTTGCAGTCCTGTTTTTGATATAATGGGGGAAACAGGAAGAGGCCAGACTCCTCATAAAGCAGCTCTGGTCAGGGGTTGGTGAGGCTGTCCCGAATATGAAATGCGACTTCCAGTTGGAACTTCCTACTGAAAACTGGAAAAATTCCGACTTCCCAGTTCAAATGGAGCGCACCATAAATTCAGAGGGTGAACGCTGATCTCCGGAGCACTTTGGCCCAGAAGGTCCCCAGATTGACTACAGAGAGAAAATATATGAAAATTCAAAAAGGTTATTCTTTAAATACTACAATTTCTGTTGCTGTTTTATGTTTAAAGATTATTAATTAGAATATTTTTATCATCATAACGTGAACATAAACATTGCTACAAAAAGACTTTGATTAAGCTGATTCAGTGAATCGGTTCAACCAGTTCATGTTTATGTTCGAACGAACCGATTCGGTCATCGCCAGAACAGAGAGGATTTGGTAGAAATATCTGGCAACCGCGGCCAGAAACGAAACCAAACCGGACCGTAAAAGGCTCACATAACGGGCCAACACTGGGCTCGGGTGTCAGTTTGCTTTAGGTAAGGCCTTATTAACGAAACCGTTTGGTCGTTTCTGTGGTTAACTGCACTGTTTACATCAGCTAGCTAGCTAGCTAGGCTACAGCTATACGAAGCCGGAGTTAGCTTCTTATGCGAACTTCCCGTTCCACCTTAAATGGTGCGCTGCAACGGAACTGCCGCACTGTTTAAGGTGGAACGGAAAAAAACTTGAGCCTCTTGCAGTTCATGGTCACTAAGACTCAGTCAAAGTTTCTTGTAAACGCGATGGACACATAACTAGGCTAGTTCATGGTCAGATTGGCAGCCCTCGCTGAGACCCAGCGTTAGCTATTACAGAGCCACTTCCACCACAGCGCCAGTTACAGTTTAGCTCAGTTTGCCTGGACGTGGTGCAGCAGGTCGAGCACAGCAGGCAGAGAAGTGAGACGTGAGGTCTAAAGTGCGATCTGAGAGCTGGAAATAGGCACATATTACTTAGCTGGCAGGCTGTCAGCACAGTCAGGTTGATTTCTGGTCCAGTCCTGGAGGCCTGTGGGCTGAGTGCGTTCAAGAGACCTCCAAGGTCTAATTTAAAGGGGAACTCCACTGATTTTTAAAAAACTCTCCATAGGCAGTTTTTAAGAAGTACACAAAGTCATACAGAGGGTGTTGACATAAAATCCTCCGTTCAAGAGAAACTTACAGAGTCAGAACTGTTCACAGTGGTGGTGATAGGAACCAGACGTCCACCTCTAAAAGCTCCTTCACAGATATTTCAGTTATTTCATGAAATGGTTATGGATGTGCTGTCTGATATCTGAGACACTGTTTATAGGCTGTAGGGCCACAATGTATGTTTTAAATCTATTAATGTTGGAGAGGTACATGCAGGGTGTTGTGGGTAGGGCTGGGCAGTATGAAGATATTTATCGCTATCGCGATAAATTATACAATACAATAAAATATGCTCTTCAGATGAAATCGCCAGGACTCACAGCAACACTGGCAGTGCATGTTTCATTGCAAAGAGAGAGCAAAATTAGTCCTGTTTAAGTGGATTTAGTGCAACACTGCATGTGAAATATTGAAATGATTGTATTAATAGTTTTTGATAGAGTTTTTTTGTTATGTGGCACTACTGGTTCTTTTTTCTCTGTTCCAACTGATTATTAGATGTCTGAAAAAATACATATTTTATCATAAATTTGATATTTTGCCATGTTGCGCACCCTTAGTGGTGAGGCAGAATAATAAGAAGACATAGCAATGATCTCAGGACACTATAAATACAAAAATAAAAAAATATATATATATATTGTTATTTATTTATGTACCACATTTCCCAGCTTTACACATATTACAGATCAGTAATAATGTATAAAAAAACCTAATGGCGCTCTAAAGTGGTACAACCATCTATGCATCAGCCCTGTTGTCAGGAGGTTGAGAGTTTGATTCCTGGCGATGCCACAGCCATCCATAAGTGGGAGTCCTAGAAAGCTTAACTGGCCTCTCCGGGTGGGTAGGATGGTCCACCCTCCCTTTTGTCCTTTCAACAAGAATCAAACCACCTTGAGAGCCACAACATTTTATGTCCATTTTACCATCTTGGCTGTAAACATGTCCCAGTGTGTGCTGATGTACTAGTGTAGACTAAAAAATATAATCTAGATGAAAACGCAGACTTACTTTGCTCTGCTTTAAGCTTTAGCTCAGCTATAGCTGCTTTTCTCACATCTCCAGCAGGAAACTTTTCTGCAAGTGTAGAATAGTTTCTTGTAAAATGTCTCTCAACAGTCGATTTTTCTGCGAGGCTGAAGTCACTTCTCATTCGCTAGACGTTCCTCCAAATGGTGCCTGAGCTACCAGAAAGTAACTGCTACACCATTTAAGGTGGAACGGGAAAATTCAAACGAGAATCTGACTTCAGCTTTGTGGCTTTTTAGTGTTTGTCAGTTTCCCGTTGCAGATTAAACGTATCAGAAAACCAGCTGGAGTGATTATAAACGCAAATAAGTCCATTTGTCTCTAAATTATCGATGTTTGTCTTAAATCTTTCTCTTTGCCAATTCGTTAGCTGCTAGCTAAGCGAGACTGTTGTCTGCGTTGCTATGGTGACCAGAAGTCTGCGTGCCAACCTTCAGGGTTAAAGGGTGAATTAGCAGTTCTACATTAACTCCAGTGTTTAAGACCATTTATTGTTAAACTGTGTTGACCGATCAGCAGAGCTTTATTTTACTGTAAAGGAGGATTATTTTATTATTACCTATAAATCTAATTCTGCTGTGGAGCCGCAACAGGACAGCAAAGGAGCCACATGCATGTCCGGAGATGCATGTCGCCCATCCCTGACCTAGACTTTGGGGAAAAAATATAAACATTTGAGGCAAAAATCCAAAAAGAAAAAACCCGATTGGGGTTGGACTCAAAAAAGAGCCCAGACTACAACTGAGAACCACTGAACTGTACTCTGTAGGCCTCTAGACCTCCAGAAGAAGGGTTAGATATGTTCTCTCTGCTGCAGGCTATGGCTTTTGCATGGTATTTTTAATGAATAGATACTAATTCTAATCCAGTGCTTTACTGTCCAAATGAAAGTCAAATACTTTCAATATGTATGGGACGGAGAAAAACCCTGCTAGGCTGGAAAATAATCCATAGTTGCCTTAAGAAAAGCACCATAAGAAGTGTGATCTCTGATTGTTTCATGACGTAAAGCTCTGCCTCTTTTGTCCTTGATAAATCATTAGGTAATAATTAACCCAGGCCAAAGACGGATACGAGCTGGAACGCCCGGCTGAGTCACTCTGCACCAGAAACACAAGTGAGAAGAGACCACCATGAGCTTCAGGCTGTTTGAGGAGAAACACCACGCTTCCCTCTACCAGCAGTACCGCTTAACTCCAGCAAATGAGCTGAACGAGCTGATTCTGCAGTACCTGGACAAAAAGGTGGGAGGCCCTGTGACCTGTTAGCCTTTGCAGAGTTCGAGAACTTTGTGTAAGACTTAAAAAAACATTAACTAGGATTACAGTAGAGATAAAGTGACCTTGTGATGGTCTCATGGATCCGTACAAAGTCTGACTTTATCAAACTCATCATGATTTAACAAGTTTCATGCACAGTTGCAATTATGAAAGCCTTCTACTGGCAGTGGTCTGTCCACCATCTTCAGTGCTAGTTACTGTTATTAATGTCTAATGTTTTCATCATAATCAAGTAAATTTGTATGAGTTAGCAGAGCGTCTGGTTTTAAGCCACAGTGCCTTGTTTATTTCTTTGTAGGCCTTGGTCTTATGAACTGATCTGTTTTGCCTTTGCTTACTTAATGATTTGATTATGATAAGTTGCTCCTGCAGTGCAAGTTCTACTGTATTGCTATTTGCAGTGGAACTAGGGATGATATAAATATTAATAATTCAAATACTTAAATTAAATAACCCTGATTACTTTACATAGTTAATCACGATTAATCACATTTGTCTTATTTGCTCTATTGCACTTAAAAAGCAGCACATAGCGATATGAGTGGACAAAATAAGCTTCAGTATGTATTTATTACTTTTAATATCTCATATACACACAGAGTGAACACAGTTTCCAATTTTCATCGCTGACGTCCAATGAGAGTGTATATTTCATGTCATATATTACAGGTGCAGTCAGTGGTTCCACTAATATATATCTACAGTCAATGGTTGTAGCCTCTCGCTCTTATTCATACAACTCCAGGGTTTCTGTTATACTAAAGGCTCTTGAGGAGAACCTCAGCTCCACTTTGCTGTTGATTGTATATCTCCAAAATGGTTTACAGGAGAAGGAAAAGACCTACTTTACTTTTAATGTAAGTCAATGGAACCAGACGTTTTTCCAAGTCATTTTGAGCCGTTTATTTTGGTCCATTTATCATGAAATTTACACACAATGTAAAGGGTAACAGGCATTTTCAAATTATGTCAAAAACTGAAAAACGACAAAAATGGAGATACGAGGTCTTCTTTCGACAACAGCGATATATACATGCATTATTATGAAAATGAAAAATTAGGAAAATGTGTTAACGGTGTAAAAAAAGTGTGCCATTAGTAATTTATCACATTAAAGTGTTAACTTTGACAGCACTAAGCAGAGCAAATAATATTTTTGGAAGATTAAAGATGTTTAGATCAAAAATGTTGTCCAGTCTTTTGTGTGGAGAAAATTGCATTTTGGAAGCTGATACAGTTACCTGAGTTACCTCGACTGGTGCTGTAGACTTTAGCTGAACTCAAAATCAGAGCACATTTTAGCACTTTATACTATAAATATACAAAAGGCTTAACCAACTGCAGTCATTTCTGTTTAATATCATTGTCTCGTCATGGTGCTTTTGTGTTGTGTCTCCCAGAAAGGACCTCCTCATGAGCTGGCGGTGGACCTGGGGTGTGGAACAGGACAGCACACTCGTCTGCTGTCCCCTCACTTCCAGAAGGTGGTGGGGATTGACGTCAGCGAGTGCCAGGTGGAGGAGGCCAGAGCTGTGCCGGGGTTCACCAACGTCACCTACAGGTCAGTCATGAAGCTGCTTGAGGCATCAGCATTAAGGATGCAGCGAGTGATACGTTATGTGTCGAAAAGTATCCGGACAGCCTAATGAAGTCACTCACACAGGCTCAATGCCAAGCATTGGCTAGAGGGGTGTAAAGCCCCCCAGCATTGGGCTGTGGAGAAGTGGAACTGCGTTCTCTGAGTGATGGAGCTCTATCCAATACCTTTGGGATGAGTTGGAGTGATCCAGAACTGACCATCCAACATCATTACCTGTAATTTCGGAAGAAATGAGCAGGTGTCTACACACTTTTGGATATGTGGTATATGTTATTTGCCAATAAAAGGAAATTTTATTTTTATTATTGGTCCAGTATTGGAATTACAGTCGATAATTCCACACTGATGCATGTGTAGTCAGTCTTTAGTGCTGAGCATTTTTATTTCTTTTTATTTTATTTGAGTCAAATGAAGAGCGTAGCGCATAATATCACTTCACATGAAATTGGGTTTTCCCATTCAAATAGAAATGCTATTGCTGTACTAATAAGCAGTGGCGAAACATGACTACTCCAGCTCAGCCTTCAGTTTAGTTCATAATTGTGATAAAATTAGAAAAAATATAATCTCTGCAATAATGCTAATTTGCTCACCTATGGGGTTTCTAACACTAAGTTAGCACTAAGTTAATGGATATTTGAAGCTTGGGTCACACTTTATTTGGATGGTCCCCTATAGATGCTCTACAGATACTTAAATTATTAACAAACCTTCTGATGTTCAGTCGATTATCAGCAACATTATGGTCAGGGTTAGGAGTAGATGTGGTTTTTGCCTTGAGATTAAAGTTAGGGTTAGGGTTAGGGATAGATTAAATAAACTCTTTCACACTGAACTTGAAGTTCAGTTGCATTTAATGGATATTTAATTAATTGTTACCTCATTATAGACAGACTGAGCATTTACAAAGCATCTACAGTGGACCATCCAAATAAAGTGTTACCATTTCCAAAAGACATTCCATATGTTTTATTTGGAGTTTGTAACAGATGTTAACATATATTTGACCTTGTATGTATCGGTTTTATAGTGATTCAGTAAAGATTCCTGGCACAGAGCTGCTGCCGCTGTTTTCCATTCCTAACAGCTACCTGGAACCTGCTTAGGCTACGACTTGTGTTCACAATCAGTGACATATCTAGGACCTCCAGAAGACCTAGAGTGACATTTTATCTCACAAAGTTCACTCCCCCAGTGTAAATCAAAATGTGTCTGGTTTATTCGTCTGTCTTTTTCTAGTTATGTTATTAGTTAATCTAACATGTAAGGCCTTCTGTTAAGCTCCTCAAGGCCTAACCAATGGGAGAACATTCTTGTCTTAAGTTTAAATTGATGATCAAAATGGGAATGTAATCAAAAATGATTCAGAATGCCCATAAAATGCTACCAGGCGACGCCTGATATGAACGCTACACAAAGTACTACGTACTGCCATCTGTTATCTAATCACACAGCAATTACCTTTCTTATCACAGAGCCGGTCCGGCAGAGGTGCTGCCGTTCCCTGATGACTCAGTGGATTTGCTGACCGCAGCCTCTGCTGCCCATTGGTTCGATGCCAAACGTTTCCTCAAGGAGGCCGCCCGTGTGCTGAAGCCTCGCGGCTGCATGGCTCTCTTCGGCTACGCAGATAATTTTAAACTGCACTATGGTTCCTGTGGAGATCGACTCAGCAACATCTATGAGGAGGTGAGAACCGCTGAACAATGACGTATGAAGCCTATGAGTCGTTCAGAATTCGTTTTAATCCTTAAAGGGCGCATATCATGGAAAAACACACTTTCTCACTTTTCTCAGTTTGATACAGGCAAACGTTGTTTTAAAATGTACTGTTCGTTTCCCAGTCCATACAGTCTACACATGGAAACTGAGCTATAAAAACAGGCCGTTTTGAATCCACTGTGTTAGTTATGTCATAAAACAGCACGTTTACATATTTTCACTGACCAAAGAAAACCAAGTAAAAAATAAAAAATGACTCCAAAAAAGTAACTTTACAGGAGAGGGCAAAAACCCTCTTAGCTTTCAATGTAAGTCAATGTAAAGAGATTTTGTTCCAAGTGATTTTAGAGCATTTCTATTGGTCCATGCATCATGAAATTCGTACACAACATAAAGTACAGCTGGTGTGTTGAAATGATGTAGAAAACTAAAAATCAGCAAAAATGGAGATACATGGTTTTCTATGGACAGCGACGATATATATGGCCTACAGCAATTTAGCTCTGCTCATTCACGCTGAAGTCAGCCCAAACTGCTTTTGACTGAGATACAATACAGGGCAGCCAATCAGAAGCTAGGTCATTTATAAATATTAGTCTTTAGAGTTTTAAAAATGGCCTGTTTAATTCTCAGCAATAAAGAGAGGTTAGAAAATGGTCACGTAAAAATGAATTATGACATTTTTGGTACATAAACACACAAAAACATCATGAGTGGACCTCTAAATAAATTTATTAATAATTAAAGGAAAGTGTAGGATATGAGCCATTTAAATGCATGAGCACAAACTGATCTACAAACATTTTACTGACAACTCCAAAGTAATAAAATGCTATATTTTGATATTTTGTTTGTCTCTTCTCTTCAAAGTATGCGGGTTGGTGAGAATAGGGATCATTCATTTCACTGGATGTTTGCATTACTTTTTATTGCGTTTTATAGCTTCTAGGTTTATACTGTTGGAAATAAAGTGAAAACAAACCCTCTAAAATGCCTCTACTCTGCCATAATGTGATGTGTTTTCTATTTATTTATCTTTATCCAGCTGAAGAAGTTTCTCCTGCCATACACTAGCAGTCAGGTGGCAGTGTCCAACAGTAAACTGCAGGATTTATATGAAGCCATACCCTTCCCTGATAGGGAGAGGTATGTTCAAGGACTTTTACTGAATGTGATTTAATAATAGCTATTTTATTAATAGGATTTTGAACATAACTGATGTGGATTAGGCTGGCCTCACATTTTCATCTGTATTAAATTGAAAACCCAGTATTACCCACTAATACACCCTCATACCATGACAGACTCTGGATCTTGAACTTTAAGCTGGTAACAACCTGGATCTTTCTTGTTTGGCCTGGTGTCCCTTTTCATAAACAGTTTGAAAGGATGACTCAAGAAGAAGAATAATTATATATGGAAAATGAGAAGTATTCTAGTACATGATGTAGATGGTATGTAGTATTACCCTCAAATGACAAAATAGAGATAGAATGCTTTAAATAAACACATTTAAATCCAAAATATTAATGTAGTTTACAAGATGACTAGGCTTGGGTGGTATCTATTTTTTCATACCTTAATACCTTCCTGATATTTTACTGGTGTATACGGTATATGACAGTATTTATGTAAAAAAAAAGAAATAAATAATTAGTTAATGAATTAATTAAACTAAATAAATAACATGCTGCTAGTGATGTCACTTATAACGCTTTTAGGCGCTTTACATTCTGAGTACATTTTGCAGCAGCTACATTCTGAAGCCTGAGGCATGAGAATATAACTGCTGCACCATTTAAGGTGGAACGGGAGAATTCAAAGAGAAGTGGATTCCAGCATTGTTCGTTTTCTGTTTTCTACTGCCAAATTCTTACTGGGAGGTTTTTCCATAACAGTGCACCCGTTTAGAGGAGAGCGCAAAGTTGAGTGACCGGTGTTGGGAGTGAAAGCTGAAATCGAAGACGTTCTGTGGTGTGTGGTCCTGATTCTGATTTACCCCTTTTTCTGTTACCGACATCTGTCTTTTAACTCCCACAAGGCCAATCAGTGAGCCCTCTAAAATATAAATGAGCGGAATGTGTTTGTTTATCCGTTCAAACGTGGAATAGAAATTTGACGCATCATAATCTTGAACTGCTGTTATCGCATTTAAATATTGGCATCATTTTTACATACCGTAGCATACCATATTACCGTCATATTGCCCAAGCCTAAAGATGACTTGTATTTGCCAATTCGCATTATAGAGGCACTTCTTTTCGGCTGTGCTAGCAGATACATGTGATTTTGATGTAAGGGTCTAGGAATGTCAATAAAATAAAGTTGAATGACAATAAAAAGTTATTAACAATAAAAATAAAGTTTTATGACTAACCTTTAAGATATCACATGTACTCTCATCATTAGAAGAGTAATTTCCCTGTTTATTGTAGCACGTACTAAGGTAAGCTAACAATGGCTTCACTTTGTACACACTGGCTTCATATTATACACACTGTGTAATTGATCTCACTCTGGATACACTTTCAGCTCTAACCCTCTGTTGCGTTTGATTAAGGATTGAAGTCATTCCAGTGAAGGAGGAGGTGACTGTCAAGAACCTAGTTGGTCTTTTGGAGACTTACTCCACCTACCAGGCCTACCACAGGGCTGATCCCCAAGCTGCAGCTGCTCTGTCAGAGTCAACAATGACAAGGTAACCACTGGCTAACGTAAATACAGTGTGCTGCAGGAATGAAGAGGTACGCCATTGATAGCAGCATAGCTGACTGTAATATGAAACCGCTACTAGGAGATAAACACCAGTTGCTGTTCTTTTACTCTGTTGCAGGTTTCTTGAGGAGATGGGTGTCTCGTCGCCTGAAACCAAGCTAGAGATCAGACTGGAGTACTTCTGTGTGCTGGCATGTAAACCACAATAACAGAGCATTTTTTGTAGTGGCCAGTGTTGTGTAGTGGGCAACATCACTGAGCTCCACTCAGTAGACTGGGGGTTCAATGCCCTGCCTAGGCAGGAACACCAGTAAGAGTCCTTGGGCAAGACTCCTAATGCTACATTTGCCTCTGTAACAGTTTAAGTTGCTTGCACTAAATGCATAAAATATGCACAGTCCCACTTTGAGACAGAGTTCGAGTTCATTTACTCTAAAGTACTGTAAAAGTTTAAAGGTTCCCTTGATCGTAGTTTCCAAATAATGATTTACATCTTGTTTTTCGAGTCAGTTCTCCATGCTTAGAATTTTTTTAGTCATCTATACTCTTTTAAAAATGGTTCTTCAGTAAAGACAGTGGTTCTATATAGAACCATGCACACTTGCATGATTAAATGGTTGAACACTTGCATGGAATTCTAAACAGAACCTTTTTGAAAATGGTTCTGTAAAGGACCAAAAGGGGTTTTGCTAGCCTTGTTCAGATATTGTATACAATAGAATAACCTTTTCGGTAATATGTAGAACCTTATACAACACATTCTCCATCAGTCTTTAGAACCATTTCACCATCCAAAAAAAACATGTAACCATGCAAATGGGTCTTTGAGTGTTCATGGTTCTATAAAGAACCATTGTCTTCACTATACAACCCTTGAAGAACCATCTTTTTTAAGAGTGTAGGCATGAAAATTGCTTAAAAATTTTGAGGCAGTACATGTATTTTTGCTAGTCAAAACACTTTTTGCCATTAGAATAAACACAAATAAACATAAATGCAGTAAAAAGCGACGTTTTGTTGTTTTTAAAGACGTTATTGATATGTTGGTTTGAAGAACGCAGGTTTGGTTCCTCTTCTCCTCAATGAAGCTCCAGCTATGGCTGGATTTATTTGATTCCATGAGCAGCACCTGTTTTACTTTAATGAAGTATTGATTAGATAAACTTGGTATTGGCTGGTAACTGTAAATGCTGGACTTCCTTGAGAAGAGCTTTGGAAATGGTTAAGATGACTCACTCGCATACAGAACAATCACAATGGATTGTTTATTTGTATTTCATTTGTATGTCTTTACATCTCATTTTCTCAGATGCCCAAGACTACGGACCAATCCCATTTCATATTTTTACCCCTACCCCTTGTTTCTGAGTGTCACATTGCCTCTTGAAACTGAGTTACAAGGGGTAGTGGTTGAAATCTTCCTCTATGAAATGAGACCCTCAAATAAAAAGAGCATCACTTCATTAACAGCTACTAGCGCTGCTCTGTAGGCGACGCTGCCAGTCTGCAGTGACAGCAGAGGAGGGTAAAGTTCAGCTCCTCACTGCTGGGCTTTAGTTACATTTAGGGAATCATATGCCTTCAAAGAGGGGGGGGGGGCAATTATTTATTATCACCCACCCCTAATTCTTCAGTGATATGAAGCTGAAGTCAGATATTCGCCAGCTTCTTGTTCAAATTATCCCATTTTACCTTAAATGGATCAGCAGTTACATTCTGGTGCCTCAGGCATCAAAACTGCTGAACTATTTAAGGTGGAACGGGAAATTTAGCCAGCTAGCTATCGAGACATTAGCATACTATTAGTGATTTTTATGCTTGTTATGAAGAAAAGGACCAAAATACATTGAAACAACATTAAACTAAGATAATACAGTGGTTATCGTTAATTTTAACTGAGAAAATTCTCACATTTGTGTGTTTCTTTGGTCTCTTGTTAAGCCATCTTGCCAGTTCTTCTTTTTTTTCTCATAACACTTCGTTTAGAGTCTCTGAAAAACCTCAGTTTGGAGGGCCATGTAGCCCTAACACTTCGCCCTACCCCTCTATCTCAACAAGAATCAGGACACCCTACCCCTAGACGTGAACGCGCAAAACAGAGAGGTAAGGGCTAAGTGGTAGGGGCGAGGGGTGAAATGGGATGGGCCTATAACACAGTACTGTATGTGTGTATACATACAAATATTGTTAACAGATGTCTCAAGCATTTGTGAAGAGATCCAGATGTTCTTATTACAGTATGGTCATTTATACTTGATGATGCTTTGAGTTTTAAGAGAATAATTTAGTGGCTTTTTTATTCCTCGCACACATGAAATCACATTATATGGAGGCTTTTTATCCACTGACACTGAAAATATGGCAACTTTAATGTATTTAATTGCATTATTTGGCCACTTATTGTTTGGCCACTCTCTTTTTCTTTTTTATGCAAAGCACATTGGAATGTAAAGGCCAAAGAAGTGAATATTCATGCCCTCAACACATGCATTCATAAGAATAACCATGTTATTAACATGACATACAGAAATGTAAACTCCTCAGTCACTGTTCAGCATTCTGAAACAATAACTACGCTAAATAAAGACTTCTGTAAAACTGCCTTCCTGTTAATAATGAATCCTGTTTTATTCATTCCTGTCGTAGGGCTCCAGTTACAGATACTGTAAAATGAATTTTTTAATGTTCAAAAGATTGGAATCACTCGCCATACTAAGATTTTTGTAATTTTATATACAATAACCACGTATAGAGTGCAGATTTACATATTTTACATACATATTTGAAAACACTTTCAGATGTTTTATCATTCAGTATTTCAAGAATTCTGTGAAAAATGATAAATAATACACTGTAATTAAGTTACACTGTCTGTCCAAACATGTACACACCTGCTCATCCAGCATTTCTTCTGAAATGAAGAGCACTAATAGGGAGTTTGTTTACCTTTTACTGCAGTAACAGTTTCTTCTCTTCTGGGAAGGCTTTACACTAGATGTACGAACATTGCTATGAGGATTTGATTGAGCTTTGGTGAGATCAGGTACTGAAGTTGGATGGTCAGTTCTGGATCACTCCAACTCTTCCCAAAGGTACTAGATGGAGCTGCATGACTCCAGACAACACAGTTCCACTGCTCCACAGCCCAATGCTGGGGGGCTTAATACCCCACTACCTGACTCTTGGCACTGGGCATGGGGACCTTTTGGACAGACAGTGTAGCTGTGTCTGAATCCAGTCCTGGAAGTTCACAGAGTTTAATGTCTTTTTCTGACGATACTCATCAGTTAATTTATAAGCTCTTCGTGAGATGGTGCTGTGCTCAGGAACAGGGAGCGTTAAGTGTTCAGATACCCCCAGACAGGGTACTTTTACATTACTCAGATACATATAAGCACGTCATTTTCAGAAATCATGTATTTTCGAGTGCCTTTCAGGTTATATCAATCAAACTGCAGTTGGGTTATTTTGATTAAGTAAAAATAGCTCAACACAATACAAGTAACTTACAAAATTAAAGTTGTTTTTGGAAGGTTTTTCTTTTATTTTATTCTTTTTTTTTTTTAGTGAATTGATTTAGGCGGCTCGGATTAACCCGGTCGTCTGATCTAAAGGGTGATAGGAACCAGGGGTCACAATGTCTACAACACAAATCTATTTTATTTACTATCCAAAACCACCAGTGACCCTACATTTTTTCTTTAATGTCTTCTGAGACATTAGAAATATGTAATGTTGATGATGGTGAAATTGTGGTAAATCTGAAAATCCTCCAAATAACTTTGGATGCAAAATAAATGCATAAAAATACTTTTAGGCCAAAACTTTATGTAAACTCTTCAGACATTTGGTTCCTATCGCCACCACTGTGAACAATTCTGATTACGTTTCTCTAGAACGGAGTATTTCACACCAAACCACTCTAAATGGCTTTGTTTACATCTTAACCATTCCATTATGAGTAAATTTTGAAAAATCGGTGGCGTTCCCCTTCATGCTCAACGGCAGGTTCAAGCCAGCTATCAAACGTGAAAAATTAACCATCATAATTTTAATACATTTAACGCAGGACACATATTTGTCATGTAAAGATGTTAGTTCATTATGTGTACTGTTTGTTCAAGAGAGTTTGGGAGAGTTTTATCTCCGTCTTGGAGATTTTACGCTGTCTCTAGCTTGCTGCGCTCGCAGTGCATCATGGGAGTTGTAGTTTTTCGACTCCAGCACTCACAGCGCTGAAATGTCTCGCTTTTGAACGATTTACAAACGTTTCTAAGCGAACCCAGAAGAGAAAAACGAACGAGAAACAGATTTAAACGTTTTTACTTTTCAACGAAATTTCGCTATAGCACTGCACGGTACCACAGAAGCACGTGACTGGACTGGACATTCTTGATCTGCTTGTATTCTGAACCCTGCAGTGCTTTCCATTCACTCAGTCTGTGTGCGCTGTGTGGAAATGGCCGTCCGTCTGTTTGAGGGGAAAGAACATGCATCCTCATACTTAAAATACAGACTGACCCCACCCGAAGAGCTCATCAGCAAGATCCTGACCTTTCTGAAGACACATGTAAGTTGCATGTTTGGCAGTTTTCATCCTTTTTTTTTCAGGGAGAAAAACCTAGTGTGGTATTACAGTTATTTAAAGGGGAACTCCACCGGTTTTTCAATGGTTGAGATGTCAACAAAGTCATTTAGAGGGGTTTGATGTGAAATGCTCTGTTCTAGAGAAGCTTACGGAGTCAGAACTGTTCACAGTGGTGGTGATGGGAACCAGACGTCCACCTCTAAAAGCTCCCTCACAGAAAGCTACTACATGAACTGGTTATGAATTCACTGCCCAATGTGTGAGACATTGTTTTATGTTAGTTTTGTGATAAAGATTTGGTAAGGCATTGTAGGGCAAAATAGCCCCTTTATTTTTCAGATTTATGCTTATTTTTACCACCATCAACATTACATATAAAAGCTCAGGAGACACGTGTAGGTTCACTGGTGGTTTTGGATGGTAAATAAAGCAGCTTAATTAGTGCTGTAGACATTGTGACCCCTGGTTCCTATCACCACCACTGTAAAGAACTGAGTAAGTTTCTCTACTGTCAACTGTTTTACACCAGACCACTCTGAATGACTTCACCCACTAAATTATTCATAGAATTTTTAAAAATTGGTGGAATTCCCCTTTAAGCTTCTTCGTTTTTCATGCTCTGTGTTTACAGAATGGTTCTCTGCGTGAGCTCGCTGTGGATGTGGGCTGTGGGTCGGGTCAGGGAACGGTCCTGCTTGCACCTCACTTCACCCAGGTGGTGGGAACAGATATCAGCCCTGCTCAGCTGGAGCAGGCGGTGAAACACAACTCAGCCCCGAACATCTCCTACAGGTTTTTACAGCTTTTATCTTAATATTTGTTTGGTTTTGTGTCTCTGCAAATCAGATTTTGACACCTTGCAGATCATCACAGACGTAAATATCAGCAAAAATACTCACAACTTGCACATGTAGGCTGATTGTTATTCTACACACTATGAGGCCGTGCTTGGCATGTTGAGAATGGGTTGGAAAGGCCTCTGAAACTAGGTCACACCAGTGTGGTTGTAACAATGGGGTGCCTTCAACAACTAAATTAAAAGACCCATGTCCTACATTTTTCCTATATTTCATTGTTTCCCTGAAGTCCATTTATGATGCTGATCTGCTTTAATCTAACACAAACAGTCATATATTATTTCACATGACCATTATCTACCCTCTCCTAAGTGCCTTAGAATTGAACAGGCTTTTTGTTACTGCGCCTTTAAGACTGATATATGCAAATGACGTCTGTCATGATTGGCTGCTTTGCTCAACAAGCAGTCCAGACTGAAATACTCCTTATAACATCAGCATGAATGGGTGGGGATAAAGTTCTGTAGGCTAAAGAGGTAGATATACGTAAATGCACCATTTTTTCTGACATCACAAATACACTGAATTCAAAACAGGCTGTTTTGCTGCTTAATTCGCATTTGGGATCAACTGGTATGAATTAAACTTTGAACAATGTGTATGTTTTTCCCATAAAGTCAGAGAGAGTCATTTTCCCATGGTATGAGCCCTTTAATCAATTCAGGCATCCAGTTAAATTCACTTTAACATTCTGCCTTTGTGTTTACTGTGCCTTTAAGCCTGATATGTGTAAATAAACTTTGTTCTGATCGGCTGCCTCATTCAAAAAGCAGGCTAAAATACTGTTTATAGCTTCAGTGAGAATGGCTGGCCTAATCTGCTGAAGAAGGAATAGGTGGATAAATGGAAACATCACAAATACAGTAAACTTAAACTGGCCTGTTTGCATCTCTTAGAATGACTACTAGGTACATTTTAAAAAAAAAAACTTTAACAATGTTTATATTTTTCCAAAAAAAGGAGAAATATTTGGATTTCCGTGGTATACGCCCTTTAACCCGTTAAATGGCCAGCAGCCAGTTGCACCAGCTGAACGTAAGTTCGACAGTAAGTTGGAGTGT